CCTTTGTTAGATTTAGAAGAATCTTGGTTAGGTTTAGAAAATTTGCAAGAAGAGGCAGTAGAAAGTGAAGATTATATGAATAAGGAGGATAAATAACAATTGACCCATGACTTGATAAGGTTAAGATTGTAGTGTTCAAGGAAGCATCCATGTGGGAATCTATTCCACAAAGTAGCAGTTCTTGAGGCAAAAACTGTCTGAGAGGAATTTTACTCTTTACATTTGGAATACAGAGAGAATGAGGGGGATTTGACTCTGTGGATGTAGCATGTGAGTCCTACTTGCACTGGAGATAAAAATAAGTTTGCAACATTGTGTCTATGAGAAAGAGGCTGCACAAGACAACAAAAACAATTTATAAGACCCATTTATTGGTAAGACATTTTTGCCTGGTCATCAAACTAGCAAATGCCTCTATTGATGGGGATTTTCATATATTTCAAAGCTTTAGAAGTAGTATTTTTATATCCAAATATTTAACCAGTTATTTTTTACTCCGAATCAAAGAACATCCATTGTTATATTTAGATGAATTTTGGTTAGGTTTAGAATATTTGCATTAATAGATTTTCATTTTTTTATTTATTTATTTTTTATTGAAAATTAATAACTGGTTATGAAGAACTTTAAAATATATAATATGAAATTTAATTACATCTTTTTAATAAGTTTCATTTACATTGTACTGTCAAATGAATTTCTCTAAAAACAAAAATGTAAATTTCATATGCCAGTATTTTGATAAAGGTTTTATTTTAAAAATATTTCCAAGAATTAAACAATGATTTCATTTATGAACAGACTAAAAGTAAATGTATTTTTCCTTCCTGACATTTTGATCTTTCCACTACGTTTAACAAACTGAAACTCTAAAGAGTATGCAGCAGTTTTTAATCACATCTTGTTATTGAATGTGCAGGTAGCATTATGATTATTGGTGTAGAAACTGGAATCAGCATGGCAGGTTCAAATACTGACCAAATCTGCTTCATTCACTTTATTGTACTTATGCCCTTGGAAAAAGCATAAATTGAATTAACCCTGCTAGAGAAGGAAAACTCTGAAGTTAAACCCTCACTGCTTTGTGTATTGGGCTCATTAGCTGTAACTAGTAATCAACTTAGAAGATAAATTCTGTTCCCAAACCAGGGCAGAGAAGACTGTTTAACCTTGAATGGCAACCCATCATCTAGAAGACAAAACCTCTGCTACAGAAATATGTGAACTCTGCTTGTAGTATCAACTAAAAGTTAAAAATGACAAAAGACCTAGTTGTTTTAACCTGGGCAGGAGCCTGGTTGTATTCTTTTAATTTTTTTTTAAAATTCAATTTCTTCAACTGTAATAGCACTTTTTGTATCAAATTTAGAAAAAAAAAAGAACAAGTCATTGTTATACTTAGCAAGAAAATCTGTTCATAGCACTTAAAATGAAGACACTTTTTATAAACCTATCAAATATTCTTTGACAATTTCATTTAAAGAATTTACTTCATATACACCATATTTCAAATTGTTTTTGTAGCATTATTGCTTTTTTTTAAACTCTGGGAGAATTATGGATCATGTGCTTTGTACATGTATTTATCTTTGAGTATAGTCAAATTAGTTACTATGATGATATGACTTAATTTATTATGAAAATATCATTGCTAAGAAATTCTGGGAAATACTTCAGGAGTCAAATCAACATTTTCCTCACAAGGATTTATTATTTTAAACAAATTTAATTGGGACATAAGGTGTTTTTTCTTTAATCATGTTCTTTATAATATGCTTGAAATGGGGATTTCTTGCATTTATATTTCCTTATTCCATATAAAAGTTACATTGCAGTTTTTACTTTTAGAATTTAAATACAAAATAGTTTGTGCTAATTAAAATACTTCCTTCATAATAAAATTTATGAAAATGTTATTGGTCTGACCAAATGGTCATTCTGTTTCTGTTGTTAGATGATATTAGAATCATTTAGTTTTAACTTATTTCATTTGAGAAAAATTGCTTTTGCCTGTATTGTTAATAGACATCATAAGAGCATGCTTTAAAAAAAGAATTCAGCATTAGCATATTTTTGCTTATCAATTTTAATATTGAAAATAGAAGAAAATAAGAAGCATTTTTATTTAAATATTATCTTTTTTTATTTTAAGAAAAGTAAAATATGAAACAACGAAACAAAAATTGTGTTATTTAGGGAGAAGGAACTGTGAATGATCAAATTTATCAAGTGTTTTGTTAAGTTTGGCACTGGAGATTTCTTTCTTAAAAGTTTGTTAGACTGTTCACATTGACAAATAAAAATCAAGATATTACTTGAGAATAATGAATTTTATACAATACAAGAAATAGTCAACATACTCAAAATATCCAAATTGAGCACTGAAATTGCACTAACTTTATTATGTTAGTCACTAACATTAACCATATCATGTGCAGGTTGTATAATGGATAGAACCTCCAAAAGAGAAATTGGCAAGCTGTATTTAAATTCCAGTCAAGTTTTGTTACATTCACTTTCATGTAAATACTCTTGAGAAAAGGTATAAATCAAACTCTTCTTCCAACCAGCTATGGGTTAAATAGACTGTTTTCTTCAGATTTGGTTTTGCAACCAGTCTAGGAGAGAGACATCTCTGAATTCTAAACCATATATGGCCATGGCAAAGCCCATACTATACAACTAACAAAAATTTCATGGAGTTCACTATAACTCTATGATCCCTGCTGTGGTTGATCTGACGGATGAATGAACCACATACCAAAGACTAATAAAGGTAATATTTTGTATATGAGCTTGTTCTGGAGAACAAAATGACTGATTCAAAACAAGTAATACTCAGACATGAGCAATTGACAAAAAATGTCTAGAATTAGATTAAAGAAAGGATGTAATTTTCCATCAGGATAACACTAGATCACATACGTTATTGATGACCAGGGAAATATAAATTTTTATCACTTGACTTCAGATTAACAATTATTTTGGTATTTGTAGAATTATTTTTATGAAAAACTTAATGTACTTAGAAGTTCTAGCTTAAGAGAAATCTTTTAAAAATCTGGGAAAATGAAATTATGAAATTGACTGGAAAATAGCAAAAGATAGTGAAATAAAATGGTAAATATGCTGTTCAATAAAATTCATGCTGAAAATAAAGAACTTGTCTTTTATTTTGAGCTAATAAACTGTACAAACTTTTTGGACAATTTAATATGCTAGGATTCATAAATTAAAATCCCTTTCAACCTGATAGAAAAAAACCCCAAGATATTTGTACTTAACCTGGAAATCTTTATAGCATTATTAAAAATGACTGGAAAGTATTCTGATCAAAGCATTGAAGATGATCAATCATTAATGTGATTTCAATCAATCAAAACTTTCTTTTTCCTATATGCATATTTTTCATATATTTAAAATTTTATGCACGGCTGATATATGGTAACAATGAAAAAAGACAAGAAGGTTAAAATGAAAGAAAATGTAGTAATTCCAATAGAGGGAAAAAGTGGAAAAATAAAGTGTGATAACTTTAATAAAAATATGTTCTGTTTCATTGAAAAAGTGATAAAGCTCTGGATACTCCATAAAATATTGTCTTATGCTAGACTTGCTTTAAACAAACAAGGAACCCATAAATGACTAAGGCAAATTATTCTTTGAAAAATCCAAATCTATACTGGAATTTAATGAAAATGAATAAGCATGTTATAAACTTAGGAGTAAGAACAGAATTATAGATTTTTGTGAAAGTGTTGGTAATGAAGTCAAAATTTCATTTGCTTTTGTTATTTACTCATTCTTGTCAGCTAAACAAAACAAACTATTTACTTTAAAACTGAAAAGGTTACAAGCTTGGAGTGAGTTGAAATGTTGAGCTAAAGTCTTCCCATGGTTTTCAGACATTTGATCTAATTTAGTTTTACAAAATAACTTCAGCAGATAAACACTGATCATTTTTCTTCATCATCATAATCTATGAGAGGGTACAGAAAATTTATCAGTCAGACACAGATCTCAAAATCTGATTAAGGGACCAGACATCAGAATTTTTTATATTTTTTGTGGGGTGGGTGCACAGGAATTAGTGATTGGACGAAATAAATTTACAAATAATGTTTTGAGTCCAGTTTCTTTTTTTAAAGACAGTTTTTGTTTGGCTGAAAATAAACCAGACAATGGAAGATTTTTTTTTTTTATGACTTGGCTCAGAATTGACTACTAGTATTTAGACTTTTTATTAAGACTAATGACTTGATACAATATCTCCTATTTATACTAAAAACATGGCCCATATTATAGGCACCAAGATCCACATGAATATTTAACAGAAATATTTTTTTTGTGTTTTTCTTTTGTTTGTTTTTTTAAGCATTTCACCCCAGACAAGGCGAGAGTGCCACTAGCAGGGGTTACAGAGAATGAGAGTAAGAGTAAAGACGGGGTGGGTTGGGGTTTGTTGGGTTGAAGAAAGGATAAAGAGAAGGATGGGGATCAAGATCTAGTCATCAGAAGATGTCAACTGATATTACATTTAAATATTTGAAGATTATAGCTATCAGGGAAGCAAGTAAGAGGAAGGGAGTCCCACTGTTAGAAAGCGTCAGAAAAGAAGCTGTTGGAGCAGAAGAGACAGTTACATTTAACTGTTGTTTCGACAGTGAAAGAGTGGGACTGAGATGCGAACCTAGTAGTGCATTTAAAGAAATTGAAGAATATATAATTTATATTAACTTAATAACTATAAATGTCTAAAAGCTGAAACTCTGCAGATTAATAATTTCCTGTTTTAAATGCTGTGTAAATTTATGTTAATTAAATTTATTTTAAGTTGGTATCCACTCAGTAGAGATATTGCATTTTATTAATAATTTTCAATAAAAGGTTTTTATTTTATCTGAACTTGCTTAAGCAAAAGATTGTTCACAATTTTTTATTCAAGTACTTTTAACCATCTGTTGTTATTATCAGGAATATAAATATTATCAGGGGCTTATGGCCAAGTCATGTTGAAACATTAGTTCCTGTACATTCACTGAAGTTAAACAATGGTGAGCTTGGTCAGTACCTAGATGGGTGACCACTTGGGAGTACCAGGTGTTGTATGCTTGGATGTGCAGATGGTGTAATCAGAATTATTAATTGGAAATTTGAATTCCAACTCCTGTTGGGTTTGTTATATTCACTTATGCACAAATACCTTTGGGAAAGGTATGAATCCACCTCTTCTCACCCCCCCCCAGCTATGGGTTAATTAGTAAGGCTTGTATCACTAAAACATTATTATCTCAAAAAAAATTCTTACAATTTACTCTATAGTCTGTAATTATTGTCATAAGGAATACATAAGAAAAACTTCCAATTTACATAAAAAGATTATATGAATACAAAAGAGATCTTTTACAACACACTCAATGCTTTAGTCACTCACTGTAATGAGTCTAACCATAATTTTGATTTAAAAAAAATGCTTCTTTAATTAAGAAGGAAAACAATTTCCTAAGGTGAAAGTGTATAGAAAGTGCTTTGATTGCTAGATCTATGGTAAATTTGTATCCAGGTTCTTACATTTCACCTTTCTTGGCATATCTTCTGTTATCACAGTGTGGGAGACTTAATAATAAAAGGGATTAAAAACAAAAGTATAGTGAAACTGAATGAAATCAGATAGATTACATGTCCACACTTGTCTGAAAAAAAATTTAATTTAAAATTTCAGATTTCTAATATCTTCAGCATTACCTTTTAGCGCATAATTGTAACCAGCATGTACATTTTTATATATCCTTCTCCTACACATACATAATTCCATCAACAAAAACATTAGTCCAATGAAGTTCTCCTAGAAGACAAAATGAATTACACAGAATTTTTCCCCTTTTTTATTCATTTGCCAATATATATATATATATATATATATATATATATATATATACATACAGAGTGTACCAGATAATTTGCAACATATTATATAATAATATATAGAAAAAGAAAACCATGAAATTAATATTTTAAAAAATTGGTGCACATTTACAATTGAAAAACAAGAAAAATTATTCAGCAAAACTGCCTTCAAGGATAGCCTCAGTATAACCCCAGAAGTGACTGCATGCTCAGATTAAATGGCCATCACATCTATGATATCCAACCCACTCAATCTTAAAGCCTAACTACTATATCCAGCACTTTTATATAGGTAGCAGAATTAAACTTGAAAGCCTATGAGAATAATTGGAGATACATGACCATCTTTGTTGTTGTAGATGATTCATTTGAAATTGCTGACATATGTTTCTTTCAGCATGCATTGTGGAGAAAGAAAAAGCAAATCTTTTCTTGTGTTCAACTTGGAGACAACCACATCTCTTCCTGAAAGTTAAAGAAATTTTTCTCAAAAGTAGGCTCAAGAAAAATAGTGTGTTTTCTCTGATTGGTCAAATATTTCACAGTGATGTTAATTTCTAACCATTAGACACTTTAATTTAAATGGTGTGCATTGTGATCTCAAATTACTGTGGTTGGTAGCTAGTACCTTAAGCATGGTGTATTTTTTCATTTCTTGTATCAGATTGGAAGCTGTCATATTAATGTGTTCAACATGTTTGAAAGAGAAATGAGAATATTAAAATTTGACATATGCCTTATATTTCATTAGGTTGTATCTGTTTATAGTTTATAATAACATTAAATGAAAACTTGATTTACCCACACCAAGAAGATTAATGAAGGATGATGATAATGAAACACATGGGTAATTTTAACAAAACAAGACAAGGAATTTATTTATGAATTTACATGCTTGAAGTAGTGTCAATAGTGCATTTCAGGAAAATAAATTAAAATTCTTGCAATTCATAGTTTTAACATACTGTCATGAAGAGAAAATGTTCATAAAACAGATTAAATAACCCAATACAAAATAATATTCAAAAATGTTTAAGACAAATGTATGAGTGTTCGTTGCTCACCAAAGGGATATATGGTTTGCATACATTCAAAAGTAGATGAAAAGAGATAGTTTGAAATACTTTGCTTTCTTGGATTGTTGAGAGAAAATTCTTTGAAGTGCCACATGTCGGTTAGAGTCTGATAATATAATTGACAAGTAATATTACACTAGCAAGTATTCCAGCACTGGTCATAAGGAACTGAAACAAAACCTTCACATGACTTCAAACATTCCTCTCTTATTAATTTAATTTTTCTCCTCATTTTATATCAAAAATAATTTTGCATATGCTTGCTACTTTCTTTTCTTCTTCTTGACTGACTGGTTAATTTCTGTCAAGGCAAAGTTCCAAAACAATTTCACATAGGCTTGCAAATTTCTTTCCTTCTTCGTCTCAGTTCACTGGTCAATTTCTGTGAAGACAAGTTTTTCATTGGACCAAAGAAAATTTCAAATAAGCTGATGCATTCCTTTCCTTCTTTTTTCTCAGTCCTCTGAAGAGAGTGGGTGAAGGGAGTCATTATTTCACACTCACTACAAGTCCACCATACATATGTTCTCAAATACCTGATGTACCCTATACATATGTATCTGAGAGAGAGGGAGAAAAAATACAAATATTGCTGATATTGTATTAAAGTTTCATAAACTGTGGAGTGATTTATTCAATTATTTGGGGGTTGAATGAAGGGTGAATGCTTGAATTTACTCATAAATTTATCCATACTTTAAATAAAGTAAAAGGCATAACCATTAAAGATGTCAAGCCCTTCTCATTCTTTTAATGTACAGTAGAGCTAGACATTTCTCCCCTCTGCCTCTGATCATCTAATTTTATAAAAAGGACATTTTATGAGTTTACTGTAATTAATCTTTTAGAGGAGGTGAAAGAAGCTAGTTAGATCATAAATTTATAAATAGCAGTATTGGAAGATTATGTAGTTTACTATATATACTTCAGTCTTATTGGCATCAAGTTACATGAATTCTAGGTAATGATCCAAACTTTAGGTAATAAGCTAGACTGTGTTATTTTATTGTTGGTTGTATTATTCTTTAATTTCTAGCAACTTCAGTGTTTTGTGTGTCTGATTTTGTAACCCTGGTTACATTACTGCTGCAGACACAGACAGGATAGATTATTGTTGGAATAGCATGTGAGTCATTCTATTCAATCATTAAGGCTGGCATAGCCAACATATGAGCTATCACTACAACATCAATATATAAGAATGTGCTGAAAAGTTGTCAGCTCAAATGAGAAGGGATTTCAAAATAAATTCTGTCAAAATTTTGGGAAGTTGGTTAGGCCAAGAACTTTTCAGAATCCTCTGGTACATTATCTTAAAAAAGATTTAAAACATGTCCTTATTGAAGAATCTTTTAAAAAAATACAAAATAACTCTCGGAAAAGAGATTACAGAAAGAATAAGTTTATTTCTGAAAGAAATGAAACAAATTTGAGGAACAATGTCCAGCATACTAGTCATTGTGAAGAGTAACAAGAAAACTGAAGATAATGAGCTTAAAAATACAACTGTATACACAGGGTCGGATTAGGACTTTTTGGGGTCCCTAGGATAATGAAATTATGAGCTCCCTTCAGATGGAGTCACCTTCTAACTTTCCCACACCCATCTTAAATATTTTTTACTTGTGATATATTTTAGTGACATTTACATAGCTTGAAGTAAACTTATTGCAAATTCTTAAAATAAACTAGAATAACTATCTTTTGTTTGTTAATAAAAATATTCTTTAAGAAATACCACTAATTTACTATTTATTGCAAACCAAATTAGTACATATTTCAGCACAACCGAAAATAAATTTTTTATAACCAACATTATAACAATAAAATAATCAAAATAAATGAGTTTGTCATTGATATCATTTCAGTTTATGAAACTATTTACAAGTTGTAACATCTAGAAAATTAAAATCACTGCTTTATAAAAAATTTTAAGATTGTGAAATTCTGAACTAAGATCAAACTGTTATCTATTTGAAACATAATGACACAATCAATCTATTTGAAACATAATGACACAATCAATCTATTTGAAACATAATGACACAATCTAAAACATTCTTTTCCTTGGTTTGCTTCATGCAAAGTCAAATAAATATAAGTTTGTTATAGTGATATCATTTCAGTTTATAAAAGTATCTAAGTTATAACATCTAGAAAATTAAAATCATTGCTTGAGAGGCTCCAGGCTGTAGCCTATGCTAGCCTAAAGGATAATTCAGCTCAGTAAATACATCTACAAGATTCTGACTGCTAATTACACAGAAAACAAAAATTTTAATATCAATAGAAAATGCTATCATCACTGTATACTCTCCTCAAAATTCAAGAAAAGAAAAGAAAATGAAATAAAAGTATATTAAGTATATTTTTCTTTTCTCAAGAAAAACTAACAAGTCCAATTTTTAGTTCAGTGTATTCTTTTGCTTTTTGCAATGGGCAAATATAAAAATCATTGCCTAACATCTCTAAAATTACACACTTATTTAAAAATCTGGATATAGTAGTCATCAAAACAAACTCACATAAGGATAAGGGATGCAAGTTCAAATCTCACAGGTAGCTTATTGTTTATTTTTTATCTACTCTATGTAGTGGTTGTAGAATAATGATTCAATTTGTGATATGAAAGAAAAATGGTGTTTTATTTTGCAGGAAAAAGAACTTCAACACTTGAAGATGCCACATTATTGACATGAAACAATTCAAAAAAATTAGTGTAGGTGTTCTACAAATTGGCACTTTACAATATAAAAATACACTTATTTAAACTACATTGATAAAATTACACTCAGATTTTGGGTAATGACTTGGTGGTGGGGTGAGAACTTTTCAGCATCCTCTCATATATGTCAAAAATTAATAGTTGTCACTTTTTCAAATAGGAAACTTGAATAATATTACTATTCATGCTATTAATGTCATACAAAGCAGTAGAAATAAGATGAAAGAAATACTAATCAATGTAAGCATTCTGAAAGGAAAGGAAATGTTTGTCGCAGATTAATTTCACAACACAAAGAACAAATCACTGTAAGTTCAGACTCGAATATCAGGGGCAGAAATAGATGCCAAAGACTCGATTTGCAGGCACTATCTCACAAATCCAAATGCACGTAACCAGTTA